GGTGTGGACCCATATAAATACCATGCAGTGTTAACACTGGCACATTTGCTGTGTAGGAAATGCGACAGAAAGCTATCATATTAGCAGGTACACTGTAAGCTTATGGAAAGTGTGGATAATACTTACTGAGAAATAAAAGAACATAAATACATAATCTATACTTAAACCACTTAGATCAATTTAAAAAATCCATATTTAATTATTTAGCCCTAATGCTGACTAAAGACATCTACTACCACTGCTAAGCCCTCAGCACAATTCGTCATTAAGAAACACATTTTTTGAAAAGAACAAGTTTTGAAATATGGCTGCGATAAACATACAAACATCCATTTATCCTTTGAAAAAGTAGAATATGCTCACGTATAATTGTCTGACGACCTCTGACAAGCTTTTTCACTGCTTCTCTTTGCCGCACAGAAGCCCACCAGATGAACTGCGCATGCGTGAGAACGCACCCACCTCACGCCTGTATATTTAACCATGGTTTCTCTCAATTAAACAACGCGTGTCGTCTACATTAAAGTATTTTTCTTAATAAAAATATGGTGAAATTGTAATTTGTATATTATAATTAATACACACTAAAAAGACAAATGTATTGATTTCACCACAGAGCATAAATTGATTCAATGTTAAATATTTTCAGTAATATCGATGTTGACTCAGCATCTTATTTTCAGTGTTGAAAAGGTCACTTTAAATCAACATTGAATCAAGGTTTTGCCACCATCAATTTTTCAATATTGAAAATCTGACCAAAAATCAATTCAGTTTCAAGTCATTTAACACTGACTATAATTCAAAGCTTTTAACTATACTTCAACGTTGAAACAATAACATGATGCTATCTGGGGAGGGAAGCCATGGAGAGACTCAAATCCAGTCTATCAAACCTAAGGAATGGTCCCTAATTGCTTAACCAACTAATCCTCCCAACCAAATGTAATGACCCCCAAGCTGTAGTGGAGACCCTGACTAACTTGGGGTGAGTTTCCCGAAGCGTTCTTAACGCTACGTCGTTCTTAAGTTCTGTGTTAAAAGATAGAACTAACGAACGACGTAGCGTTAAGAAGGCTTCGGGAAACTCACCCTTGGTCAGTAGGGTCGTTCCTTTCAGCTGGGTAGGGTGACCATCCCCAAACTGTTCCCACAAAGTCGGGAGCATGAAATTGTCCAAAATGGCTTTGAATGCTGCAGCATTAAGAGTTCCTTTCACTGGAACTAAGTGGCCAAGCCAAACCCCTGAAAAACAACCCCACACCATAATCCCCCCTCCACCAAACTTTACACTTGGCACAATACAGCCAGGCAAGTACCGTTCTCCTGGCAACCGGCAAACCCAGACTCGTCCATCGGATTGCCTGACAGAGAAGCACAATTCGTCACTCCAAAGAACACATCTCCACTGCTCCAGAGTCCAGTGGTGACGTGCTTTACACCCAGCACTTTGCATTGCACTTGGTGAGGATGCAGCTGCTTAACCAGCTCTGTGATTTTACGTGGCTGAATTGCTGATGTGACCAGTTGCTTCGACTTTGTTATAATACCACTAACAATTGACTGTGGAATATTTAGTAGCAAGGAAATTTCACAAATCAACTTACTGCACAGGTGGCATCCTATCACAGTACCATGCTTGAATTCACGGAGCTCCACAAAGTGACCCATTCTTTCACAAATGTTTGTAGCAGCAATCTGCATGCCTATGTGGTAGAAAAATTATAAATCAAGGACTTAGAATAAAAGTCTGGACCTCTTAGTT